TAATTAATTAAAAAATTTACATTTTCTCTCCCTTACCATCATCCCAAACATATTATAAGCGTCTAATGTAACTGTTTCGGTAGTTCCTCCGGTTTGTCCCGTTTTCCGGCGTGGCCAATTATTCGACGGTTCGACCCGGGCCATTTCCTAAGTCAACTCAGGTCAGGCGTAATTATTTAAAGGAAGGTAATCAGAGAGCAAAGCGAATACCCCCTGGCCCCCCACCAAGTTCCCTTTTTCTGAAAGACTCAGTGAAACCTTGTTCAAAAAAAAAAAAAAAAAAAAAAGAAAAAGACTCAGTGAACACGCGCCATATTCCGTGCGTCTAAAGCCGCGCAGAACGAGAGACCGCCACCTGTTTAAAAGCCAACGCAACCGTAGGAGACAGATTCGTCGGAGACGTGGCGGTGGAAGAGCCAGTTGTTTTCCCGTTTATGCTTTTATACAATCAAAACTCAGTCTTGTAATCAAAAGTTCAGTTAGTAGTTGAGTTTCAGTTGGAGGTTTTCCCGGTCGGATTCCAAAATCGGGTCTACAAAAGGCATCATGGCAGCCGCTTCTACACCCAACACGACGCCGAAGGTCGTCACCGGCCCCGGTGGTTACGTGCTCGAAGATGTCCCTCACTTGTCAGATTACATTGATAATCTTCCTGTACGTCGTTCTTGCCCCATTCTTTTGACCCATTTGTTTACGCGTACCTCTGTGATTGAGTTTTTATATGATCTTTTTTTTATTTTTCCTTTGGCCGATGAGTTTTATATGATCTTAATAATTGGTTTTTCTGTCTGGTTCCCGAGGAAAAGCCAGGGAAAGTAAAGGGCAGCTATTGACTTTTCCTGTGTCTCTCTTGGGAGTCCTGGTTTAACTGATCAGCTCATTCCTCTATTGCAATCAATAATTTTCACTTCATTTTGTACATATAATCACAAAAAAAAAAAAAAAAAAAAAAAGAGAAAAATAATTACTATGACTTTTTTGCATGTAACTTTTTTGTAAAAAAATTCAGGACTTATATTTTGAAACAGTGGTGGAGGTTTAGAAGTGTAGAATAGTTTGAATCCTATCCATTGATTTTATCTTATTTATTTTATGTTTTACTTTCTTCTGTGGCAGACTTATCCAAATCCGCTGCAAGACAACCCTGCATATTCGGTTGTCAAGTAAGCAAATTTTGCATGTCTAACATGAAGATTTTTGTTTGTACTTGGTATTCTTGTGCAAAAACTTTTTTTTTTCCGTAATGTATTCAAGCATTGAATTGGAATTCATTATTGCTTCTCCGTTTCACTAGGCAGTACTTTGTTCATCAGGATGACACAGTCCCTCAAAAGGTCAGCATATTTTGGTCTTGACTTCATTTTTTCAAAAAAACTTTTTAATATTCATATTTGTGCTTTTTGAAATTATTTTATGTATTATATTAAGTCCTATCTCCTTTTGACATAGAAAACATATCATAATTAATTGTTCCAATTTAGAATTGGGAAAATCATAGTTAATTTTCACTCATAACACTGGTGTTGTTCAAGAAGTCAGTGGTAATTGATCCTCAATATCAGGGGTGGTTATATTTTGTTTACCATGTACTAGAGATGCTTACCAGAGTATCCTTGTCAACTTCATTTTTAGGAGTTAGAGGTATAACACGGAATATGGGGCATGAGTCGCATGACAAATATAATATAGAAACTTGCTTCCATGTGATTTTTTTTCCTTTTTATAGGTTGTGGTTCACAAGGACGGTCCAAGAGGGACGCATTTCCGACGTGGTGGACCCCGTCAAAAGGTTTGACCTTTACTTTTTTTTAGTGCCTTATAAGTGAGATTGGATAATCAACCCCAAGTGCGGAGGTCCTCTTTTTTTTTAAACAAAATATCTTCGTTGTTTTATCAGGTATACTTTGAGTCAGATGAAGTTCATGCCTGTATTGTGACGTGCGGTGGTCTGTGTCCCGGGCTCAACACCGTCATCAGAGAAATAGTATGTGGCTTGTACCATATGTATGGTGTCAAGAAAATTTTGGGGATAGATGTAAGTGCTTATCATCACTTCAAATATTTTCATGAATTTTGCTCCCTTGTAATTGCTCTTACTTAGGAATCTGCTCTTAACGAAACATCAAGCAGGTTTTGTATATACAAGTGTGATCTTAAGGCCCTTGTTATTTGCTGTTCTTGCAATTTTCTCTTCTGTGTACGGGATGACTTCCTGGATTAATTGAGCTGTCAAAAGAAAGCATAACCATGCATTTTATGTTTACATTCCAAATGACTCCCTCGGAAAATATTTTCGAAATTAACTTCCTCGATTAAATATATATGTTAGACTGTGACTTACTTACATGCAGGCACACAATCTTTCCTCCTTTTCAGAAGACAACACAACTGTATGTTATTAAAGATTTGGGGCTGCCCCAGAGGAGGGTGGTTTACTTTGCTTCTTTTATTGCTTTTAATACCCATTGAATGATTTTTGTTTTGAGT